ACCAATCAGACCCCGGGATTTTCTTGTGCCATGGTAAAAGTTAAATTAACAGCAGGACAGAGGCGACACGCTGGCAGTGACAAAGCAAACAGACGGCGGCACGCTGTTTGTCAGTCTGCACAGATAGCTGCAGTAGAAACTGATAGATGTACCCTTGGCCAGGTTTTGGCACAAATGGAAGCTCATACATTCGACTTCTGACAGCGAAGTTATAGATGAGCGTCTGCTGGACCTGTTTCCTGCGCACAGTAGTCAGAGGAGCCCGCCTTCATCACCTGCTGTCTGACTGAGAGCCACATGTTACCTGTCTGACCTGCTGGAAAGGAAGATTGACAGTATCTGCACTAAGAGACTGTCTGGAAATGTATATGTGTGCTGCATTCACAAAGTCAACTTTACACAATAAAAAAAGAAAGAAAGAAAGAATAAAAGAAAGAAAGCAGCGGTGGAAAAAGAGGGGTTTACGTTGCAGAGATGGTTTAATATTCTGCAGCAGTGATCCTGATAAACAGAGACGAATCTGCTGTCTGTCTGGCAGCTAATTAGCATTTTTCTTTTATCAAGCAGGAAATTAATCTGACGTTCAGTCCAGATATCACATCATCTCTGACACCCTTCATTGGTGGATTTCATTCAGTCCACTTTTAATGAAAGCTGAGCGCTGAAACAGAACACAGCAGCTGTTCACTTTCTGTTCACACACCCAATAAAGTCCTGAATAAACCTTCAAATTAACTCCAAGTTAATTCCCTGAATGCTAACAGCTGACAGAGCCATGGGATGTTTTGGGTAAAAAGGATTTGTTATAGACTGAGGGACTTGTGAAATATTCTCTTTAATTTAATGTATGCTGTGTCCTGCTGTTTTCTTCATTATGCTGATTATTGCAGGCTTTAAAGTTTACAGCCTATTTTCAGTGAGTGGAAAAATAACAAGCAGGAAAAATAGTTTCCCGCTTAATCGCAACATGACACAAGTGTTAGATGTAACTCACAGAGAAGGATCATCATGGGGCAGAAGTTACTGCACAATTATAGTTAGAGGCCATCTGTATACTTTTACAGTTTAACTTTACTCTCTTCATTTCCATGCTCCTTTTTCTCTGAACCTAATAAAAGATGGTTTTATCTCCATAGACCTGGAGTTATTACATATTCATCATGAAAGGGATCATTTGTTCGATATGCTTTCCCCACAGAGAGATTACCTTGTCAGAAATTCCAGCGAGATGATTCAAAATTACATTTATTCTTCCTGCTTGGGAAGCGAAAATCCATTAATATTCGCAAATGATTATCATTTTAGAAGTTTAATCAACAGGCCTGAGACAAACCAAATTTATTAAAAGGTTACCGAGTGCTTCTACACTAGAGGTTCAAGTCTTCACAATAGGGTTTTACGAAAGAGGATTAGGGCCACATGAAGAGATAAAAAATAATTACAGGAAGGAGATTAAAGTCAAAAATCGAGGTTAAAGTCGAAATTATGTCAAAGTCGAAATCTCAAGATTGAAAATTGAAATTTTGAGATTACAAAATGTCGAAATATTGTGAATAATGCCAAAATCAAAATTTAGACTTTCATCTCGAAATTTCGAAATGGAAATTTAAAAATCCTCTTTCGTAGGGTTATGCAACTTTTTGGGCAACTGAACCACAACAGACATGTTAGAAAAAAACTGTGGGAACCTTATTTGTGAGTTGTGTCATGCTCCTGTTAGCAATAGACTATAAGGTGGGGAGTTCAAATATTATTAATGTGTCTTACTGTTTTGTTTCAGGTTGAAAGTCCTTTATCTTACACTGTCAATTTTTTTTTTTTCTTTTTTTTCGCGTCTCCCTGACTGATACGCAACCACACTGGCAATGGACAGTGAAAATCCAGTGGGAGAGTGGACGAAGGAAAATCATAGACACTGTATCGTCTATGTGAAAAAGAAGAGGGACAGGATGCAGGTTAGGCGCATTCAGTCACCTCCGTCAGACAGTGCACGTCATCACCCACTGGAAGCGTGTTTGGAGCGTAGCAGCAGCGCAGTGCAGCCCCGGGCAGCTATGCTCAATATACAGAAAACAACCTCTCTATAAAGCATTGTAAATATCTATAATGTGTTAAAATCATGTTATAGTACTGTTTAACTATAGTTAAAAATGCTCATAAATGATCATTATGCTTTATAGCAATAATCATAACACATTATAAAGCATTTTAGCATGACTTACAAGGTCAGGTATTATAATGTGTTGTAACTGTAAACAACAGTTGCGTTGCAATATCAATGTGGACATTGTCAGTGAGTTTACAGTTATAGCACATTATAATATCTGTCTTTGTAAGTCATGATAAAATGCTAAAATAGGCCTCAAATAAAGTGTGACCCAACCTCCTTTCCACCCATTGCACTTCATATGAAAGACGCCTTGTACTCCCATCACAACAAGACCCTAAGTCACCAGCTCGACTCTTCTCCTCTGTTGTCCCTCAGTGGTGGAATGAATTACCAAACTCTGTCAGATCCACAAAGTCCCTATCTACCTTTAAAACAAAGCTCAAGGCTCAGCCTGAGACATGTAACTCAGCTCTTCTCCTCTGTTGCCCCCAGTGGTAGAAAACTGAAACTACAGAGGGGGTTTTACAAGACCAGGTGATGCTGCACAAACTGTAACTGTAACTTCAGACAATATGACCAATGAAACGTGTTGCTGACATCATATGTGAAGTGAGCATATTTTCCCCATAAAACATTTAATTTTTTGTCTTTGTGAAAAGAAAAAAAATATATCTGTTTGTCTTATTGATTTTAAATCATTTTATGTCTTTTTGATTTTAAATTATTTAATCTCTCCTTTTTGCATTTTTATGTATTTCCTTGAATCCATACAGCTCTTTGAATTGCCTTGTGTATGAATGGTGCTATACAAATAAACTTGCCTTGCCTTTGCACTTTATTGAAGCTTAAATGATTCGCAAACCAACAAACTGTGTTTCCATCAACATCTTCCTCACTTATCTTGGAAAAAGGGTTTTTTATTGATTTATGGCACACAAGAAAACGATTAAACACTCTACAGTCGAGTGGGACACATTCAGGTTTATGTAAGTACTTAAAAGAGAAAAGGGAACAAGCCCCAGATACAGTCTGATGAGTTGTGTGAATGCAGGTGCATGCAGCTGAAAGACAGGGAACATCAGGTGTCTCTGAGGAAGATCGAGACGTCTCTACTGAAGAGGTGGAGAGCAGCACAGGACTGTGAACGGGCACTGTGCGAACAGAAATGTAGCTCAAATACGACACAAGACGGATTATAAAAGTTACAGTCCTTTAGATTCTCTACATATGGACCTATAAATATCATGTACGATGGTCTCTCTTTCTAACTAGTTAGATCCCCCTTTGATAGTTTTCAAATCTAATTTCCAAGAGCTTTTTTCCTGAATCACTGCAGTTATTTTGAGCATCATCTGTGAGCGTTGTTTCCTTCCTCACTGCAGTTTGAACGCAGTGTCTGGTAATCTCTGTAAAAATGAGCAGGGAGTGAATCCGACAGCTCTCTGTTTGCTAACTGACAGCCAATTAGCCCAGTTTCTACACGGAAATTAAACAGACGCTATTCTTGGATTGTGAATCGATGTGGCATGCTTGACTGTGGCGCTGCTTGGAAAGAAAGGCTCAGTTTTATTTTTAATTGCACTGTAACAAGAAGCAGATTTCCAATTAGACCGTTTGAGGAGAGAGTTTCAGCTGTAACTTTTCATAATATGAGAAAAATGTAGTTTTGTAAAAGGAAACACGCGGGCTAATGTGGTTGTGTCTTAAATCTGTGTGGTGTCAGATATGATTTATTACTTAATCTGAGAAAGGGGAGCCACAGTTTATTTTGGTTTGTGGCACTTTTGGATGGTTGTTATTCAGGTTGAAAAGGGCAGAGAGGACGTGTTGCTTTAGGTCCTGCCAATGAAGTCTGGCTGCAGGAAATGATTAATGTGTTTGCTTATCAGATGCCATCAGTGTAATACCTTTATGACGCTGTTAGGCAGAATTTTTTTAATTCTGGAAAGTTATCACCACACTAAAAGTTTTGTTTTCTAAAACAGAAAAGTGAAAAAGTAAAAGTTTCAGCTTGTGATGTAAATATAAAATGCAATAAGCTCAGTGGCGCCTTCTTAAATGTGTCCAATTAGGCTCAGTGTTGTCTCCAAGTAAACCCACAGCAAAAATGTGGTCCAGAAAGGCCCTCAAACCAGTGGACACCACTGAGTGATCCCAAATATCTCAAAATAAGGACAATTTAAACATGCTGTTAAAAGTACAAAAATGATTATTGACATTCAGGGATTCATAACAGTTGAAAAAAAGTCAATAACTGTAACTTCCACCATGTAGAAAAAGAAACTCCTCATTTATGAAAACCTATTTGGCAATAAACCCCTTTGAATGTGAGGATTTGGGCAGAGTTATTGATGAATGTTTTATGTGTTGATACTCGGCAGACTGGAGAAGAAGGCCGTCTCAGTCCTTTGCTGTTTTTGTTATTTGTTAGATGCTGAAATCTGAAGGTTGCCGTGACAGACAAATGAATGTTCTCCAATAAAAAGTTATTTAACAGCTCAATTCATTAATGTGATGAATGCAGAGCAATGTGTCATGTGTTATCACCTCTCACAGCTGGTGACACAAACAAATCACCTTGGACTGGAAATACTTCAGACGTGAAACACCAAAAACATTAACAAGCATTAAAAAAATCTATTTATTTCAATAGTCTGACTAAAACTAGACATTTGAAATGCATGGAAACGCATTAGTCAGACTGAGATCGTAAATAAAGTTGGACTAACACATACGGTGTCTTGGGAAGTGCAAACTTAAATAAATAGCCATATTACAAAACATTTTTACGATAAAAAATTGGTAAAATTGTGAAACTTGTAAAAGTATTCTGCCACATGTAAATTTGTTTCAGGACTTGTAAAAGTGTTTTGCAAGTTACATTGAGTATTTTTTTAATTGTTAAAATGATTTGTAAAGTAAACATTTATTTAAAGTTTAAAGTGTTTTAGATTTTGTAATTTTGATTTGCACTTCCCAGCCACTGTAAACACACGTGGAAAATACAGTTGGCGATCTGTCATGTATAAGGCTCAGTCAAACTGAAACTGGCTTAAGCGTTCTGAGCACGCTCCAGTGTTCACACGCCAGGCTGTGAGCCGATGGCTGAAAACATGGATGCATTCCTCAGAAGCCAAGTAGTAAAAAAAAACCCTCAACAGACGAAAAAAGGATCGGGAGAAGACAAAACTTTCTTAACAAAAAACATAGAGCTGTCAAAGTGACTGGATAGTAACAAGCTAAAACTGGGGGTTTACCATCTACTGTAGACAGGGCAGACATGCTTCTATTAACAATTTCACTCTGACCCCATGCATGTTTACTGGGATAAGAACAGTAATCCAGTTACATCTCGTAAATTCAGCTATGGTCATAGTTCAAATAAACTGTGCGGATAAACGTAGTGAGTGAGAATGAAGAGCTGAATATAGTAACTGACAAACCATGTGGGTTGTAATGAGGTCAGAAATCCAACTGCACTTTGTCACATCTCAAGCATATTCACATGTTTTCGTACAAGAAGTAGTAGAAAAAGATTGAATTTCATATAAATAATAAGGTAAACTTTAGGGTTAATTACAAACAAGTCTCACAGCGTTTAAACTCCTGATCCTCCGTCCTTTTAATTGACATCAGACTGTTTCAGGGTTATAGACCTACACTCTGAATGCTTGTCACATAGACACAAACAAAAAGACATAATTTATATATTCATTGATTTAGATGAAGTCAGAAACTTTCATATAAAAAGAACAAAAACGGAGGAAAATGGAGGAAAGACACAAGGGGACACAGCAGAGAAATGATCATGAGGAGGAAGCTGATATAATTCGCCTGTCAGAATTCATTAGGGCCGAACTAGTTCCCAACACACACACACACACACACACACACACACACACACACACACACACACACACACACACACACACACACACACACACACACCATGGTTTTAATTCCAGAATCTCATTTCAGATCTGATTAATTACTCTCTCACGCTTGACGAAGAAAATCAGCAGCAAAACTGAAGGGATTAAAACACACACGCACACACGCACACACACACACACACACACACACACACACACACACACACACACACACACACACACACACACACACACACACACACACACAGATGTTACATAAATTATTCATCAAGTTTGCAAGTTTATGTTCTAAATTGAAATGCAACACAACAGCCACACAAGTATATCAACAAAACAATAGGACATAAACTGGTTTGTGTGTCTGTGCCTGTGTGTGTGTGTGTGTGTGTGTGTGTCTGTGTGTTAAGTGATCTATGCAAATATGTCTCCAGACCCAAATAAAAACAAAACATCACATTTTTGGGAACAGCAAATCTATTTATGGAGCTGTTTCTCTGTGGTTATTTAATCTGCTGTTAAAAGTTCACTAAATCCTCTGGCCTTTTTAAACCTTCCTCCCGACCCCGCCAACAGTCTTAAATACACCCTCATTATTCTATACAGCAGCTGTCCTAAAGGAATCCACTTCATGCTTCAGGGGAAGATCATACATACAGATGTTTAAAGATGTACATGAGGGATGATTTAGTGGGATGAAAAATGAATATTGATATCCTTTGTTAATCAGTAGAGGGTGTTATCTGCCCTTTGACTCCTTGTATTGGATGTCATACATGGCCTTGAAGGTCAATAGCACAAGTCATTCAGACAGGCGACAAAAATATTTCATAAAACACAAAAAAAGGTGAACATTTTTAACATGATCACATAATATAGTTTAGTAAACACAAAAAGAATGAAATTGAAATTGAGAGCCTGCATACAAAAATCCTAATAAATCTCGACTGCGTTCAAACTACCCCAAAATTGGCTAGAAAGAAGCAACTGAGTAAAGAAACAAAAGTACAGATTTGTACATTGAGGAAAGAAGGATACACAGAAAGAGAAATTGCAAAACGCCTAAAGGTGTTTAACAAAGGCATCAGCTACACTCTGAAGAAGCGAGAGGAACCTGGAAGTTATGATGATAGAAAAAGGCCTAGATGAAAGAGAGTTACTACAAAAGCAGAGGATAAACATAGGATTGTCATCAGTAAGAGAGATCGGCAAAAAGCAGTGCCATGATTAAGGGAGGAAATCAACATGACAAGGTCGAAACCCATATCTCTGACAACCGTGAAATTATGTTTGAGAGAGGCTGGTCTGAAGGGTTGTGTATCTGCAAAAAAAGAACAAGAAAAAGAGATATGAGTGGGCAAAATCTCACAAAAATGGGACTTATGATGACTAGAAACAAGTTTGAACTGTTTGGTTCAGAACACAGAGTCAATGTCCGCAGACAAACTGGTGAACGTCTGAAAGCACCATGTGTTACACCCACAATTCAGCATGGAGGTGGTAGTTCCATGGTATGGGGATGTTTTGCAGGTGATGAAGTAGGAGATTTGTTTAAAGTAAAGGGTATCATGGAGAAGGAACAGTACCACTCCATCCTCCAGCACCATGCTGTTCCATCTGGACTCAGACTTGTGGCTCACAAGTTTGTTTTGCAGCAAGACAATGACCCTAAGCACTCTGCCAAGCTCTGTCAGGATTACCTAGACAAAAAAGAAGAGGAAGGTGTTCTTCAAAAGATGGTTTGACCCCCTCAGTCTCCAGACCTTTCTCCAATTGAGCTTGTGCGGGATGAATTGGATCTATCGGTCAGAAAAACACATCCCACGAATCAGCAGTCTCTTTTTAATGAACTTAAGAAAGCTTGGAATCCAATCCCTGGAACATACCTTAGAAAACTTGTGGAACGAATGCCTGGTATATGCCAAGCTGTTGTTAAAGCCAGAGGAGGTTACTTTAAAGAAAGCAAAGTCTAAGCAACAATAACTCAAATACCTAATAATCATAGTCAATATGTCTTCTGATAAGTTAAGTTACACAATAGTCATGTTTATTGTGTTGCAAATTATATATATGAAACTATGATCTTTTTTGTACAAATCTGATCTTGCTTCCAAACTTCTGGCCTGTAGTGTACGTACATCTTATTCTGCATGGAAGTCTGATGTACTGCACATCCACATCTGTACAGTGTGACTCATTCAGACAACTATTAACCCCGGGAAAGTAATTAAGTTTTAAATTATACTTATTTAGTGTTCAGTCCAAAGGGAAGGTCCCCTTCAATGTAGAAAGTACTAACAATAAGCGTCATGCTGTGCTGCATGCTAGATGAGAAAGAAAACCCAGAGCAGACATGAAGAAACTTCCTGTTCTTTTTCTTCTGTGTATTTTTCAAAGGAATTGAAGTGTTAATTGCTGACGGGCAGCTCTTGGAGAGAATCTGAAAAGACAGGTTCCCAGTCTGTGTTTAAAAAGGACAAAGACAATGGGGATTTCAACAACACGCAGTCTTTGAGAGGACATCCTGTCAGAGTGGATGGCTTGTTTTTCAGTACGTTTTTTTATAGTCAGAAAAAAAAGGGAGAATGATGGGGAATGAAATGTAATAGAGATCTCAGAATCTTACGGTTGGAGTTCATGTTAGGGTCCCAGAGTGTAGAGTTGGACGATGACTTCAGGGTGGAGTCAGAGCCATCCTGTGGCCCGTAGTCCGGAGTCTTCAAATGATGGAAATGAGCTGCAAAACTTTCACATGGATTGACACAGCGGGAAGGTTAAAGAGTTTCAGAATAAAGCTCCATCAGTAAGTACCAGAGAACCGGCAGAGAGGGGAGGTTGTAGAGATTGTAGTTTCAGCTCAGGCTGCTCCTGTTTTCAAAGTTGCTATTTATGCTAATCATGCACAGTGGGAGAGTTTCCCTCTTGAACAAGGAGTTTCTGGAGGGACATGGTTACAGTTTTGCTTATGTATCACAGAATAAGAGAAATTTGAAGCGGCTTTATTACATGCATGAGGACCTTACTCTAAGACTGTACCATATTAGCATTGTCACCCTGCTCACTCCTTTAAGATGAAACTTTACTGACTTTAGTTTGCTGTATTCACACCTCAGCTTCTCCTTGACTTCTTAAAAATATTCTAAATATGGCTTTTGTCCATAAAGTTTCCCTCAAAAACTCCTGCACATGGAAGTGAATGTTAGAGAGTATACAGAAATACAGCTTGACATTTTTTATGGGGCACAACTGTCACAAAAAGGTGGCGCTGCAGCTGCCAAAAGATCAAATTTTGCAAACTCAAAGAGCATCACTTGCATGTGTAGATGTATTTCATCCATGTTCCCTTGTTGGTTAGAAGTAAAATATCAGCTGAATTCAGCTTTTACCCCCAGTGGCGTACTGGTTTTCTGCATCTTTCTCTCTCATTAAATCTCCTTGAAAACTCAGTTCCAGCTTTGACTTTCACATGTCGTTTGAGAGCATCTGCTGGACCAATCATAATCCATGACTACGGTGGCCGACACCAACACCCCGTGAAAATGAATTCTTTCTGGTTTCATGCCTCATTATGAACCCTTGACCTCCAACAGACTGACTGTCAGCAAAGAAAATGATTGTCTGCTCTTTCCTAGAACTATTTTCGATAATAAACATGAACAATAATTCCTAAAATGGCCTGGGAAATGGGATCGAGACCCGCAGAGAGTTCTGAAAAATAAGCAGACAGAAATAAGAAAAAAAAGTTTAACATAAAGCTATGGGAACATTTTCAAAGCAACATATAATGCATTCAAACCCCAACATCATCATCATAATCACAGTGGAGGCAGCTCTGTGGGAATTTCCAGCTCTACTGTAGAGTCCCCGAGGGAAGGAGGAAAAGAAAGTTTGAGGCTTCATATCCACTTTGTTTACACTGAGGAGAAGAAGACAAGAAGAGAAAGAAGAAGTTAGAGAGAAGAAAAATAAAACATATAGAGTGAGTGGGTGGCACAAAAGAAACCCTGCAGGGTTTAATAAGAGGAGAAACTGTTTCCATGAGAGGGAAACAAAACAAAAAAAACCCATTATGACAGGAAGATAGGAGGAGGCCAGGAAGCTGGGCTGCAAAATAAATTGACAAATTTGGTGGGAATGGTGCAAGCTAGGACAGAGCCAAGACTAGAGACTTGGCCTCTCAGGGACCAACTGAGCATGTGCACAGTGAGGATGGAGCTAATGTCCCCACTGTGTTCATGCAGATTTGAGCAGGAGGAACTCAAGGCTGTTTATCGTGTCAGTGGCTATATTAACAAGTTTAATACCAAAGTGCAATGTCTTTTTCTTGATAGTTTCTGTGTTTCATCTGCTTCTGTATGTTGACACCGTCAAAATCACCTCTGAGGTCTGAGGTACAAGAAAAAAGTGGAGAGATGATGGCAATTGTTGTTAAACTTATTTTGACATGGATCTCAATGTTGGATTATTATTTCTAACTAAATGAATTACACTAAATATTTTGATAGTGTATGAGGGCCATGTTAAAGTTTTTCTTTCCTGATTAATTACCTGAAGTCATTATAGCATATGAAGAATAAAGTCCTAAGAAAATCACGTCACAATGTGACATGATTTAAGTTATATTGTTACAAAAATATAATCACAGGTAAGTCACTATGTGCTTTAGTTGTATTTAGTCCTTCTGTTGTGAGAATAAAGTGGTGATAATGTGTTAGTTTTGGTTCATGGTGAGCAGCCAGCTGTCTGTACCAAAATAAGGAAGGTAGAGCATTTAGCTAAAGTGTCCCAAATGTTTTGTCTCTTCTGCTCCACTTTAGTTAAAGTATCTGGACGCTGAAAAGACTGAGCAGAAAGCTGAGGCATGTGGTTTCCTACTTCAAAACAGCATTATGAGGCTAATTATTGACTAAATTAATGACTTTATTCTTGTAACACATCTTTATTTCAACTTCAACAGATTAAATTAATATTTAATTAAAAAACAAAACAAAACAATATGGCCCTGATAAAATATGGTAGAAAATAAGCTTCTTTGTCTGAGTGAAGCTAAGATGGAGCGGCAGATGATTGTCCAACGTGAGTCTGGTTCTGCTTGAGGTTTCTGCCTGGTAATGGAAGTTTCTCATCTCCACTGTAACTTGATCAATGCTGCTGAGTGTTTCACCCACGTGGTTACACATGAAATGAGAAAGGCTCTGATCTTACATGATGGGGTGTAATCTTTATCTTTACACTGGGTCTTTTTAACCAGAGCATGGATGAAAAAGTAGATACACCAAGTACCTCAGGAACAGATGATCCTCAAGCTGTTTGAAGGGCTCAGACTCTTGTCAGGAACAAAGGTTAGTTATTAAAAAATGATTTTGGAAGCCCACGCAATTCAGGTGTGACAGAATTGGAAGAATCTTTTAAAATCCTGATGCCTACAGTGTAGAGTTAAACTAGGGATGTAAAAATATTTTGAGCTTTCGAAACTTGATTTCTTTTATCGTGATGAATATTTGTGCAAAATTTTGTGGTGGAAATTTAAAAGAAAAACACAAATTTATCCACAAGTTATTATCAAAAGCTGAATGCCACGTCCTGCCTGAAGCTCACATTCTCGTAAGGCTTGATCTAATATTTATCACACAGTAGCTTAAAATAAGAAATTAAATATACATCAAATGAGGGATTTGATTTGACACTGAAATTTTAATGAAACTTTTTTAAGTATTAAGCTTGGCTCTCAAACTTTGCATGCTAACCAAACATACACAGTGTTGTACAATACGGCCAAAAGAGGCACATCCTCACATTTAATCACATTTGATGGAAGGCCAACCAAAGGGCACTTTTGCAATGTTATACACACTTGATGTGTAACCAGAGGGAATTTTTCCACAAGTTGCATACTGAGGGGATATCACGAGGGCAACTTTTTGTATTTAATCAGCTTGAAGGGCATCCACAGAGCACTATTTTGCTTTATCTAATAAGAAGGCATCCTGATGGCACTGTTTCTTACATCATGTCCTCTGATAAAGCATTCAGAGTGCATATCTACCTTCTTTTTTTGTGACTGAAAATACATTTGTCCTCTCCAGTGGAGGCCATGCACTAAAGGGTAATGTTTGCTGTTGGGCCTCTAATAAGATTTCACAAAACAATAGGGTGACCATATTCTGAATTCCCCAAAAGAGGACACTACTACGCGGGGTGGAGTTGCATGCAAAATTTTGAGGGTTTTTCAGGTCCCCTCAAAATGCACAAACTTAAAACTTCCATACAAAACCTCCAACATTTGAAGGATTTTATAAACTCCGCCCGGACAGCCCCAAGAAAGGCCGGACAGCCCCAAGAAAGAGGACATGTCCAGGTAAAAAAAGACATGTGGTCACCCTATGTAACAAACTTTATTGAACAGAACCTTTACATGATAGTCAAGGGATTTACGTAAATGTCACCTTAGGGTAGTTATCATGAATAAAAAACAAGGTTTGAAAACAGGATCGTTGTTAATCATGTTGCAGAACTTATTCAATTTTAGGTTCCGGGTTATTTTAATATTGGGCTCTGGGGGATTGACTCTTTTGGAGGCAGCCCCAAGTGGCCAGTCCAGGTACTACACCTTTTCTGCCCTTCTATGTTGGCTCCAGTTTCAGAGGTTGATGTTTGGGAAATATCAAAATAAATCCACACATGTAACCTGTGTCGTTCTCGGCAATTTTACCCACAGATACTTCCATCAGGCGCTGTTTCCTTCCGGGGTTAGCCCAACTGTTCACACCTGTTTGTTTCTGCAGAAAAGTTGTGCAGACAGCCAGAATCAATCGATCGATCTCTGTTGGCATTCCTTCTGTAAAATCCAACATCACTGAGGCGACAGAAGGAAACACTGCCGAATGCTTTCTCTCTTTGTTGGGCTTTGAGAAATCCTCCGCTGACAAATACAAATGGATTTGTCATGAATAATGAACGGTATGAATCATCTGACAGCTTGTGTCAGCCTGATGACTAAAATGCGCTGTGAACGTTCTTACTGCTGTGACGGCGCTGATCCGGGACAGGAGGCTAATTCTGAGGTTGTAAGACATTGTGATTCAGAGAGTAGAGAGAACTGACGGTAGATAATGCTGCAAATACGGATTAATGAGCTAAAAGCCCGAGGAAGAAAAGAGGTGTCTGTCAGTCTGCTGGTTGCTGCTTCTTTGGGCTAAAAACAAAAAAAGATGGAAGGTACAAAAGGTCACATAGTGGTGTCATTTACTGACCCTGCTCCTGCTCTCCGGGGTACACACTTTCAAGATGTCATACTTTAAACAGCTAAACTTGTAGCAGGATATAAATGATCCGCATGAGGTTAAAATAACATGTCTTTACAAAAGGATTATAGTGTGATGTTTAGCAGTATTCGTGCCCTTGAGGACTCACAACCACCTAGGTCAGGTAAAGTTAAGCTGAGGTAATAGACCTAAATAACTGAAGATAGTCTGAAAATACTGTTTAAGGAGGTTACAATATCTAGGGCATCAGACACACATTTAAAATACTGCTTTGAATCACTGAGGTCTCAATAGTATGAAATCCTCACTGCAATGTTTTCAGATCCCACACATCATCAAAAACAAGATTCTACTTCAGTAGATCAATACTGACCTAGACTCCCAAAACCAAATTCAGTTCATGTTTGGTTTTGGCATAGTAAGCTACTGCCCTGGTGCTTCACACAGGAAGCATGGTGATTATTTGACAGCCTTAGAACAGCTCAGTATTTTTACCAGTGTATCTATGGCCGACCACAGCCAAAGGCACTTAGACAAATAATAAACTAAGTGCTCCCTTCACAGTGTATAAGTTATTTTTTATGTTAGTCTTTAATACAAAAGTTTATTTTTCGCTTTTGTGGAGAGACTTCTCTTTTTTCCACTCATGCTTTTATTTTGAAATTTGGTGAAAAGGAGCAACTTGTACAGCTTAAGGTAAACTTTCAATGTAAAGTTATTATCAGGTTGGCTGCTTTTTTGGTCAACTCTGTCAGCTATCACATTAAATCAGATCACAGGAATTATTCTGGTTTTTACAATCTCTCTCTATCTTCACAGACATCTCTGTGCTCCACTCAAAGCTGGTGGGAATGAGGTGCCCATAAATAGACTCTTAACAGCCCATAACACCTGAACACATTCCCTGAAAAGAATTCAAACATACAATAAACCTGATTTACATTGCTGACCGAAAGCAAGGTAAACAAAACAAAACAAAATAATCCATAATCCAGATGATTTTTCACCAGATGGCTCTAAAGATTGAAGAGTGATTTTTATTCCCTCTGCTCTGCACAGAGGACAATTGAAGCCTTGACTTGAAGTAATGATTATAAAACATGTTCAATAGTCATGATCAGAAATCATAATGTGTTGGGGGACACCTGAGGAAAGCCAAGTATGCAAGCTGTAAGCAAATGCAGCCATGGCAACGACAGTAAACTTCAATGGATGTCTGAAATATGGAACCCACTTGTTGACATGTGGCAACAATGTGTTCGGTAAAACACACCACAACCAAACTGACTGATCCGTCATGGTGAAAAAAGCTGTAAGGCGAAACTCTCGATTTACCGGTCGACCTACGTGCCGACCCTCACCTATGGTCATGAACTTTGGGTAATGACTGAAAGAACGAGATCGCAGTGGTCGAAGTGGGTTTCCTTCGCAGGGTGGCCGGGCTCAGCCTTAGAGATAGAGTAAGGAGTCAAGACGAGTCAGCTGAGGTGGCTCGGACATCTGGTTGGGGCGCCTTCTGGACGCCTCCTGTTAGAGGTGTTCTGGACATGTCCCAACGGGAGGAGACCTCGTGGCCGGCCCAGGACCAGGTGGAGAGATTATATCTCTCGCCTGGCCTGGGAGCGCCTAGTAATCCTCCTGGAGGAGCTGGTG